CGGCAGCTGCAAGTTGGGCTGCAGGGGCAGCGCATACACTACAATGGCTGCTGGAAAGAGGCGTAAGGAAACAATTTCCAGGCCCGCCGCGTCCAGCCCGAAATATGAGAAAAAAATTATTAGAAATTCCGCGGGCGGTGTAAAGGCGGCGGACGGGCCGGAGGGAGGATGTTAAAGCCCCGCGGTGAGTTCTCCCGGGGTCCGGGGCGGCGGAGAGGCGTTTAGCGGGAGAAATATCAGGGTTATTTAAATTATGGGACTAGCCGAGGGGGCAGAGGAACAGCGGCGGCGGCCGGAGGAGGAAAAGTTTGTGCTACTCTCAGCCCCTGCTCAGGACCCCAGAGAGAAAAATAATAATAAAAAATAAAATAAAATAATTAATGGAGGGTGTGAGGTCTCCCGAAGTGGCTTCTGACAGGGCAGGGGGCAATGCGGCTGGAGACCCAAAGGTGAGGTCGGTGGGAAAAAAAAAAAAAGAAAAAAAAAACCTTTATTCAGGGTCTGGAAAGTTTGAAAAGTTTTCCTCCTCCTCCTCCTCCTCCTCCTCTCTGGTGCTGTGAATATTGTGACAGCGGCAGCGGCAGCAGCGAGAGCGGAAGACATTAGAGACCCGAAAAATAAGGGAAAAATTAATATAAATTCAGTTTTAAGAGTAAACTCTCCGCATTTTCCACCAAAACATCCCGGGGGAAGGTCGCTTCCCAAAGGGCCTGGCGGAAACCCGCGGTCGGCAATATTTGGGGGGCACTTTGAGTGACTTGGGGTAACTTTGCCCCTTTTTTTCAAAAGAGGTTTTTCTTTTTTGGCGAAATGAATTTGTTTTTGCCCTTTCCTCAGGTGGGCGAGCCGGGGTCCGGCCGCGGGGTCTTCGGGGAGGTGTGAGCCCCGGCTGGGTGGCTGCGAGGGGGGGTAGGGGGAGGGGGTGCTAAATGAAAGCAGGAGATCTGCACAGAGCAGGGACAGCTTGTTGTCAGTATCATAAACAACCAAAATGGAGGGAGAACTCAGGCATATAACCAAATAAAAATTTTTAAAAAATCGCAAAAAATCCCTAAAAGTCCGGGATGCTCCCCCTTTTCTCGCTAAAGGTAAAAGCACGAACCGCCTTTCCCCTGAAGTCCATTTTGACTTCGCAGGGACCAAGGAGTTAATATTTATTTATTTTTTTAAAACTTTCGAAGGGCAAAAGCCTTTTATAACTCAACCGACAATGAGAAAACGTGAAAATCCGATGCAAGAGAAGGAGGGGGAGGGAGGGGGGGGAGGTGGTAGTGCAGAAACTGCTAAACTTATTGGTAATGGGGGCTGATCTGAGATAAGATAAACACTCTATTTGCAATTTTATAACTCTCTTTTCGTGATCTTTGCTGTTTTTTTTGGGGGGGGTTGGTGGGGGGAAAAAAAGTGATGCCATTTTTTCTTAATAGAGTTAATATGTGTGATTGGGAGAATAAACCTTTCCGGCTTTAGATGGCATTTTCGTCGCATTTTATGCTTCAGGTTTTGTTCGTGGCTCCCTCCTTTATTTAAACTAAGCTCTCCAGAGGAGGGGTAGAGAGGTGATTGAGAGGCTGGAGTGCGAGGCTGGAGCACCTTTTGGAGACGGGTGGGGAGTTGCCTGGCTTCTCCCTCCCTGACACGTTTGCTTTCACCTGTTCATCCTCAGCAGAGAGTGTGAAGCTGGGTGTTTTCTGGTTTTATGTATATAAAGGCATGGTGCCTCTTGCATCACATTGAAGTTAATGGGAAAGTGCTGCTGATGTTGGTTCCACGTGGGATATGGGACAGAGCAGGGCATTTTAAAGGGACAGCTTCTCATTTCCTATGGTTTTCATCACCTCCCCAAAGTCCCTGTCTGAGGACCAGGAGCAGAGGTGCTGGGGAGGGTGTGTGGGGATGGAGGAGCCTTCTTTCCATGACTCAAGTGCGCCCACCTTGAGGAGGGATGGAGGGCAAGGAGGGGTAGACAAGCTCAACAGAAGATGGATATTGTGGAGATTAGTTTGTCTCTAAATTGTTCTTTTGTGTCACAACCCCCCCACCCCCACCCCCCACCCAGGAACTTTTCATGTTCCTTTGCTTTGCTTTGGAAGCTGATTTTGGAAGGAATTGTGGAAAAATGGAAATAGTTTAAGGTGTGTGGTGTAATGGTATAGCATTATTGAACAGTTATGAATTCTGTGCAGTGAGATCAAAGAGCTGTGTATGCCCATAATGTGATTTTACAGCCATTTTGTAAAAAGCTGTAAAATACCTAATATTCAATTTGGCTTAAGGTACAGTGAGGACTTCTGGTTGAAAACTGTAGACAGAGTGATGGAGATTCTTTAACACTGAAAGCACTTTAAGGGGGGGAAAAAAACAACACCAACACCATGGAAAAGTTTACGTATACCCATTTTTAAAGCCCATCCTATACATGTGCTGTAATTCTGTGCCTTTGAAATAACAAGGTTTTTAAATCCTGAGACCTATCAGTTTGCATCTTAAGTTAATTTACTTGTGTTATTTAACAAAATGTTTACTGAGCACAAACTAATGTCACCTCTAATGGTGTCAATTTCTACAATACTTTCAAAATCTTAAATATGTGAATTGTTAGCTGTACTCTATTTGGGATTAAGGTTAATCTTGAATAAAAATTACTTGTGTTCCGTTTTTCCACAGGTATATGGAGTTTCTAGAATAAATACCTTATTTTCCTTTGTTTTTATGATTTATAAAAATAGATTTAAAAATGCAGCTAGATTTTTATGCTGCTTATTCAGAATATTTTTTCTTGCCATACTATCCAAACAAATTACTATTTTGGAGTCCACTGTATGTTAACTTGTGTTCACAACTGAGCTCTTATCTGCACCTTTCTGTAAATACCTCCATAACAGCATTACATCGGTATAGTGTTTGAGTACATCATCTTGTGGTTTCTGATTTTGGAAGCAATTACAACTTTATAAGAAGTCATTAAAAATTAATCCCACAAACTGCTGTTAAATCAAATTGATTGGAAAGTGATTAAGCTATCAATATAGAAGAGAAACTTTGTCCCTCCCCAAAATAGTCTTCTGTCCAGAGATTTTAGAATGCTTTTAATACTTATAAAACCTTTGAAGTTTATCTTACATTTTTATTGTCTTTTGACTCAAGACAGTTACATTGACTATAAGTAGTCAGAATTAGGCTATGTCTTTAAAATAAATGACTCTTTTAGATAAATTCAATTTCTGTAAAAGTGAAGAAAAAGCGTATTTCTTCCACTTATTTTAGAGCATTGAGTTAATCAGGTTGTTTGGACACTTCAAGTTATGGTTATTGTTAACCTAAATAAAAGTGTCGGTATTATGGGGGGTGGGGGGGATTCTCTCAGAAAGGGAGATATAAAACTTTCTTCAGGTTTGGTTTGACATAACTAGTTACTTGTCTGAATTAGAAAATGCACTCTCAGTGCACAAGTATAAAATCTGTAATTCCTTGGGGAGTCTTTAGATAGGGCACAGCACAATATCTAATTTGAATTGGTTGTACTGAGCTTTTTTAATGCCTTAGAAATACTATCTGTTGCACATCCTTTTTCTGAAGCTACAATTAAATTATACCAATTTACAGGAACAATTTAAGGATATTATATGCTCAAAATCTGTATATCAGTTAGAAAAACCTCATAGATTGAGATTCTTATTTGAAATTTATATGCCTAATTTTGCTATTTGTTATAAGGAATTTAGTTGTTTTGGAAAATGATTTATAAATGTGAACTAATACTGATAAATTTCTATATTTGTATATTAATTATAACCAAAATATTTTAATCAGACATAGCTAAACAAGTGAATTTGCTTTTATCAGTATAGTTTAAAAATTTAAGGATGCCTGTGGTTTAATATTATGTAAAGGTGGGGGGCGGTTTCTTTATTTTTAACAGAATCCTGGTTGCTATTGTATACATTTTATTTTGGTATTCTGAAAATTTTCTTCCTCGGGATTAAATTGTTATTTGGCAAATTAAATGTAATGTGCCTATCTTTGAGATTGGAAAAGCCAGATAACTGAAACATAACTATAACTATCTTTGAAGTTTTGTTTCAATAATCATTTGCCTATCAAACTGTATAATCAAAATATTGGTTCCTTCTAGGAATTTATTAATCTTTTTATTTACAATAATGTTCTTTGAAAATTAAGATATATGAAAAATTACCTGTTACACATACACTATACATACTAAAGAAAAAAAAGAAATTTTACCGAATAACTTTACTTCCACTGCCTGAAATACTTGTTCTTTTTTATATTTCCATATATGTACGAAATAAATGTTTTTCTCTTTATATTGATAATATCTTAGATCCTTTAGTTAAGTTATTTGAATAAGGGAAGAGTTTCAAAAGAAGGAAAGAACAGCTGAATCTATTCAACAAACTCCAAGATAGTGAATATGTTAAAGGTAAAAGGGCTATATATTGTCCCTTGAGCCATTTTCAGGTGGTCTTAAGAACCTGACAAGCACCTTTTCTGAAACATCGAATACATTGAAAGTATATCAGACATAGCAAAAAAACTCAAAAGTGGACCTTCTATTTCTTTAATTTTAAGAGAAATTAATGTAGACAGCACATTTAACCAATTAGTAAGTGTTTAGGTAGTCTTGGGAAAGTATTTACAAATAAGTTAAATGTGAGGGCAGGGTACATTGGATT